TTTTAAAAAAATAAAAAATAATGGAGGGACTTTGACAGCCCAGGTCAAACCGTACCTGCAGCTGCCACTCGCCTTTCCTATAAACTCCGCTGCGTGCCGGGGTCCCCGCAGCCCAGGGTGGGAGCGCTCATGCCGGGCCTCGGGGTTTCCGTTGTGCAGGCGTGGTTCCCGGCAGGCGGCCGCAGAGCCATTGGGACTCCCCTGGCCCTTTGCTCCCTGAGCGCTCCAATGAAGGAGACACAGGAAGAGCAGCACAAGGAAAGGCGGAATTCCTGGTGACAACAGCTAATGTAGCTCTGAGTGGCCAATAAAGAGTCTGGCAGTGAAAAAAATAAAATTAAATTAAAAAATTAAAAAAAAATAAAAAATGATAAGTGCCGGTAAGGCTGCGGTGGAAAGGGAACTCTCCTAAACAGGTGGTGGAAAAATAAAATTAGTTCGCTCACAGTCATTATTAGTTCAGAACAATATGGAAATTCCTTAAAAACCTAAAAAATAGAACTACTGTTTGAACTGGCAATGCTATTCCTGGGTACCTACCCAAAGGACAGAATACTCTTATTTGAAAAACATTTGCAGATCCATGTTTTGTGCAGCCTTATTCACAATTGCTAAGACATGTCATCAACCCAAATGTCTAAGGACAGAACAATGTATTGAAAAAGTGTGGAACATATATAAATGGAATACTACTCAGCAACAAAGACAATGAGACCCTGGAATTTGATAGAAAGTGGACAAATATGGAAGATTTAATGTTAAGTGAAGCAAGCCAGACTGTGAAAGTGAGGCATTAGATGTCCCACTTATATTCTGAATGTTGGCACTCAATGGCAGAAAAAGAAAGATTGAAATGTATAAAAGCATGGAGAACAACTGTGGATACTAGAGAGACTGTGGGAGGAGGATGGGCCATATGGAAAAGGAGTGAGAAAATCAAAAGGAAAAAAGCAATACATTTAATGAACAAAAAAATTTTAAATAATCTGCTGATAATAATGTGTATGATAGTATGATGTATGACTGGCCTAACATACACTGTATTCATTCATGGAAATTCATTTTGTGTGCTGTAAAGATGAGACATATTTAAATGTAAAATAAACAAATAAATAAAAGATTTCTACACACATATTAAAAAGAGGGAATCAAATTGTCAGGAAATATATAAATTCATTTACAAACTCAATAGTAATTAAAGAAGTAAAAATTTAAAACAAGTTTAAACTAAGACCTGGAGGAGTCCAACCCGGTGGGGCTCCAGGACCCGTCTGAGCCCCTTGACCTTTGAGCATCGATTCCGGTCGGTTCAGTGAGTTGGCAAGGCCGCGACTGTACGCCCCCCGACCTTGGAACAAGCTTGGGTCACTTAGCATGTTGGCAAGGCC